CTTCTACCCACATTTCTTGATTTCTCGACCAAAGTTTCAGGATAAACACGCCTTTTTCGGGTAGTCGCCTTTTCATTCGCTATATCAACTGTAGTCACTTCGTCAACCTCTCCGGCCGAATCATCGTCGTCTATCGTTGCCGGTGTCTCTTCTGAAGCTGTAGGCGGTGATCCCGAGGGATTATTCGACGTGGAATTGTAATCAAAGTTCGACTCGTTGATTTTCTCCAATGATGCCAATTTTGGTGAAACGGTAGAACATGAATCCACCATTTGCTTGGATGTTTCTGGTGAATCAGGCAGAACACGAAGCAATTTTTCTAAAGACTTTGATAGTGCTTGCTCCCTTTCATCTGAACTATTCGAATTTGACTCGTTCCTTCCGGAGATAGGTGACATTATCGTCGATTCGGACACGTGATCATCAAAATCATCCGTGGATGTTACATTCACTCCCGGTATATCACTCATGTGGTCATGAAAATACTCTTTTTGGTTTTGACTTTCAACTTCGTCTGTAGGTGAGCAAGAGCCGGGAGCAAAAGATGACTTTTGGTTCATCAATTTGCCAAAGGTCGAACAATGATTTTTCTCCATCGCAACACTTAAACTGTCAACATTAGGCCTGACATTTGAATCATTATCATCATTAGCATCGGAAACATTATTGTTAACTGTCAAGAATTGCCTCTCATTTTTTTCCCCTTCATCCTTATTCGTGAGATCAATCACTGTTCGAGCAAGATCATTGTGATCCTTGCCTACAATCAATTCATTCCCGATGGAACCAAAAAGATTGTCACTACCCACAATGGACGTTTCACTTGGATTTCGTTCATGTCCTGCAGTGAAGCTACCGACAATATTGGAGATTGGGTCACATTCGTTCCCTGAGGTGTGGTCACCATCAACTGTGGCAATTGGTTGTTGATTCACATCATCGTCTTGTACCGGATTGAGGTCACCATTCTCATAGGGGTTCTTTTCGACACCTCGACTTTCATTTATGCCACGATTCAACGCTCTACGATCAATAGAATTCAGCGCTTTATAGATCACT